TTTCTGAAGAAGGGTCTAGGCCCGAAACGTCAGCCTTCCTGCTCCTCTGATGCTGCTTGGCCTGCTGTGTTCATCCAGCTCTACACCTTGTTATCTTTGTTCAGAACAGTTGTATCTAGTGGATTTATTCGCTTAGTAAGAACCAAATATCTCAAAATCTTGTCTACCTTAAAATAAAAAAAGTGGTCTCAAGACAGACAGATAAATTTATATTACAGTCTCATCTACGATCATAACAATATGATGGCATTGATTTGACCTCAACAGGGTCATTGCCAGAGTTCTCTGGTAAAATTGGAGATCTATGTTCAGCAACAGTCTAGCCTAACAAAAAGCCTAATAAAAGGCTGCCACAAAACAGACCTTGCCCAGAAGTGACAAAAAGTATAAATCAGGTCAGCTTTAGCAGCTACAAAAGGAGTTGGCAAAGGAATAGAATTAAATATTCCATGTATTATTTGGGATAACGCAACATCAACATGCAGTGCTAAAAACAAATTGGAAAATGTTTGGAATTGTTACCATCAATCATTATTTGGATTTTCAAACTTCACTGAAATGGTCTAGTTTGCAAGTAATTCATTTGACAAGGGCACATAATATTATACTCCATTGTCACATTATAATAAATCAATTTGGGGTAGAATTCTATTTACAAAAATAATTTAGAGCAAAAGCTAAGAAATCGATCCATAATTTGTTTCTATACTACTTTTTGAAAAAAAAGCGCAGTTGTTACAACATAGAAGAATCGTACAAATTTTCTATGTTTCTCATTCCAATTTTGGGCAAAATTCCTGTACTGTGCTGCCACCTGCTGTTGTTTTCAATAAAATCTTGAATCCTAAACCGAACAGAATAATGGGCATTTCCTACACTCGCTTAGGAAATATTGTCCAGTTTGCTATGTTGGTGATTGAGGTGCAATATTCAACTCTATTCCAATATTCAAATTTAAAAATGGTTATGTATTTTTATGATTAATAACAGCTTTCTGTTCCCAAAGATGCTGGGGCATTCAGAGCCAAGGTGATCATGTAAACAATACCACTCTGAGCTGAGAGGCAATTTCTCATATCTCGACAAGTATTTGCAGCAAATCAAAATCAAAACAATTCCAAAACTAAAAACTTCTCTCTTATTTTCTTTCTTTCCCTACTTCTCTAGTTCTGGAGTTAGTAACTTTTTCAGAAAGGTAAATTTGGGGGTGTTCTGTACTGCCTTTTAATAGCTGTACTTCACGTTAGGTTCCACACAGCTAACTAGATAAGAACATAAGTTGGGCCATACATTTTTTCAATCTAATCCACAACTCGTTTTTTGCAAGAAAATCAAGTAATAAAGGAGAATTTTAAATAATGAAAAATTCTGCATCAAAATTAAGCTCCTAGGTACCCTAGGTCAGTAAGATAACAAAAAAGCTGGAAAGGGGAATTTTTTTTTTAAAAAAGATGAGAGCATTTGTTATTCAATTAAATTACACAAAGTAGCACAGATTTTGAGCGTAGTTACCTTATCACCAAGGGTCACTGATTCAAGATTTACAATATCACAATGCAATTCATGAAATACAAATAAAAGCTCTGGATTAGCTCAACCATGGGTGATGAAACAACCATTTGACTTTGCACAGTCACCATGAATCTGCAAACCTTAATTATAAATAGCCAGAAAAGCAAAATATGATTCCTGAAATAACGGTACAAATCCCAGAAGCCTATGTACTAAAATTAGAATATGACAAATTAACTTACCTCCCTATTGACCAAGCCTGGCTTGAACAAACAATAAAGATATCACAAACAAAAGTAAAATGCAGCCATGTGGCCTCTTTCATACATCAAAAAAATCCTAGATATATTAGACAGTGGCAAGAGCATTAATAAGATTAGTTTATACTTTCTTCATAGTTCCTAACCAGCAAGGGAACAAATAGAGAGGCACTTCAAACAATTCAATTCACCAGACTCCATTTTAGTTATGGAAATGTGGCACAGATTAAAGAGTTGTACAATCTCAAAAATTAGCAGATAATAGTTTGCCTCAAAAAACTTGCATGATAATTTCGACTAAATCTTTCAAATTCTCAAAACCTACCTGGCTTAGGAGTACATTTAAATGAATCAGTGGAAACATTGGTCTCTGAAGATGCATGTTTTTGTCCTGCTTCTCCTTCCTCACTAGCAGCATCTGGTTGAGGTTTTTCCTGTATTTCAGCAGACTCAGGTAATTCTTCGAGGCTCACAATCTTCAAAGGTTTCTCGATATCTATATTGACTTCTGAGTTATGGGGTACAGCTGGATGATCAATTCCAGTATCTTCATTGTGAGAATCCATGGGTTCAACTTTAACACATGAAAAAACATAATTATATGGTGGATTTCTACAGCTAGGCAGGTGGCACATCCATTAAATGTATGTATTTTGACACTAATCATTCAGTCTTCTCATTAAACAAAGAAAAATCTTACTTACATGTATATTTATTGTACTAGCAAATTCAGTGGTGATATCACCTCATACCATTGTTGATTACAATCTACGAAGGGAATTGTTTCACCTCTGCTAACTTAATATGGTAAACACTAAAAACAATTTTGCCTGGTGAGTTGTTACCAACTTGCATCTTTCACGGTACACCAGGCAAAATGTTGACATGGTTTATTCAGCTTCCTTTGCATGAATAAATATTAAAGCAAAGTAATTTTGTTTTGCCTACATTAAAAGGAGCATGGCGCAGCACAACTGTCACTTTGACCAGCAAACTGTATCTAATTGACATATCCAAGAAGGTAGATTATATCTGAATAACCTCAGATCATTTTAAGAAGGTTGCTAGCACAGTGGAACACAAAAGAGCCTATGACAGTTTTCTAGATGGACTCCAGAAATTCCTTAACAAGGTTCTGCACAAAACAGTAGCAAAAAGGGGGATACAATCTTGTGATGTGGTAATTGATTAAGTAGTAAGAGACAAAGGATAGAGTAAATGTACCCTGCTTAATTGTCTCAGTTTATCAGATATTAAGTAGTATCGGGAGCCTGAAGTTACGAAGGAACATGGGCAAACTAAATGAGTGGGCAGATTGATAAATGTGAAACAGCCAAGAAAAGTGGCTGTTGAAGTACCATCACTAAAAGCTAATACATAGATACAAAAAAAAATGTATGAAGGCAAATAGGATGTTGGTCTTTGACTCAAGGTAGCAGGAAAAGGAGGGGAAGGTTCCAGCCATAAAGAGGGTATTGGTCAAACTCATCTGGAGTACTGCAATAATTTTCGGTGTACACCTTGGAAAGGATATACTGATCTTGGGAGAGGATGTAGTGCTCTCCAAACATTAGATTTATCAGAATGACATTGTGCTTAAAGATATAACTTATTAGGACAAGCATTTAAGCTGATTAAAGGATTTGAAGAAGTAGATGTATAAAAACAATGACCACTGATGAAAGAGTTCAAGACAAGAGGACAGAACCTTAAGATCAAAACGTGACCTTTCAGAGGCGATGTCAGAAGTACTTCATCATGCTAAAGTGATCTAGATCACTCTCCCTGAAAACTTTGCTGAACTGAAGTCAATTGAAAATTTCAAAATTGACAGGACACCAAGGTCAGCAGGATACCAAGGATTCCAAAACTATGAAATAGGATGCAATCCTTGGCAAAGACAATAAGTTAACTTTGATTTCAATTAAATGGTGTTCTAGGGTTTTCACTGTTGCTTTGCCAATTGGATTACAAAAAAAACTTAATTAATCTGTGAAAGCTACAAATAAATAGGATACACTATATATGACAAATAGGTTCACATTTTATTTATCCACTGCTAGGTTTACAGTGGTAAATATACAGCTATTTGGTATGCAAAATTGACAATTTAAAATTAGATATCAGTCAGTAGTATCGAATAAGAAAATTGGTGTTCAGCCTCCAAGAGGCAGCTTTGAAATTTGCTAGCACTGTGAAGGTGGTCCTGTTTCATCCCCAGGATATTAGTTGTCTAGTTTCTCTTTTCCCTCCAGTAATTAAGTACTTTTTCAATGTGAAAAGTGATTGACAACACCAAAAACAGCAGCTTTATCCCCCACCTAAAAACTGCAACAAACTTCTAATCTTTGTTATTCTGAAATTATCACCTAAAAATTCCCAGGTAACTTAGAAATAAAGAATGAAAGGTCAACTCCAATGAACTCGGTAAACTGAATCTGGAATAGTAACTCACTCATATTTGGGAGCAGCAAATAGCTCTAATTTGTACGTTAGAAATACAGTATATTTTTGTTGTGGCAACCAAACTAAATTAACAAAATCAATATGGCTTACTTAATTTTATTTATCAAGAACGTCATTTTGAAATGTGAAATTGTAGCAATAACCTAGATTTAACACTTACTCAGGAATAAAAGAAATGTTACTTCTAACCATATAGTGAAAATAGCCTCATATTACTTTATAAATGACAGCACGTATGGCGTACTGAACGACATGGCATGGTATTCGTTAAATAGAATCAGGAATCTCCCAGCTTCACTCTATCCTCTGAGCAGAGATAATGATCTCAACAAAGACAGGATCGTGGTACAACAACTGGCCTCATTTTCCTGTACTTGGTGCTAGTAGGACGTGCAGAAAGAACAGGAAAGCTCAGCCAGGATTCCATTGGTGATCACTGATGATCCCTGCTGGAAAAATAACCTGTCTTCGCTGAATGCCCTGCAGTGTTAGAACGAGCTTGATCTCCTCACTGAATAGATTGATTCACACAAGAGTGGTCAATGACAGATACAAATATCTCAACAGCACCCATGATTTTAATTGTGCCTTAATTCAAGTCACTGCCTTCTAAAACACAGAAGTTTGGGGCAGGGTGGTGGGAAATAAAATTAGATTACCTATTTCCTTTGTCAGAAATTGTGTAAAAAAGTATCAGACTGAATTTATTAGAATTGCAATTGGCAGTAAGCAGTACTTACCATCAGTTCCTTTTGCTACCTCTCCCTTAGAAAGAAACCGTGTCATTTTCTTCAATACCTTCTTTGAGGATTTGGAAAGTTTGAAGTCCAAAGCATGACACCTGGGAGGATAACAGCACAATCATGTTTTCATAAAATTTACAATGAACTACAAATCAAAAATAAGAAGTAATTTGTTGCTAACGCTGTATTCGTTCTCTTGATATTTCACAGCCTTGGGGATGATTTCATCAAGGTCATTATGCTTACAACTCAAGAACATAAATTGGTACAATGCTGTCACACACCCTACTCAATGGGGAGGTGAGGCCAATGGTTTTTGCTTCATGCTCTCTCCCTAGTGCAACAATGATATATACCCAATTGCAGAAGGAGGCCTTCAATATCATTTTTGGCACAGAAGAAATTTTACCACTGCTTACATGACTGCCACTTTGTTCTGCTAAAAGATTATTGTCCCCTCACGACAATCTTCAGCTTGTACACTGTAACTGCTCAATGGCAGCCAGTCTGCTTCAGAGATGGGCTCTAACTCGTCTCAGCACACTCACTATATAAAGTACAGGCACTGTAGTGATATGCAAACACAGCTACATCGTACAGGCTGCCCTTTCCCTGGAGTGAAGGAAGGACAACCCAATAACGTGTTAAAGATTCCTTACTTGTCCCAAACAGGAGATGTGCCAGTGACAGCGGCACAAGTCACAGTCCTCGAGGGTAGTAATATCTGGACTATTAGCAGGCTAGTGAGAGTAGGAATAGGAGAATACAGATGAATGTGTGGCTGAGGAGCTGGTGCAGGGGGCAAGGATTCACATTTTTGGACCATTGAGATCTCTTCAGGCATAGAAATGACCTGTTTAAGAGGGACGAGTTTTACCCGACTTGGAAGAGGATTAATTTCCTTGGGGGGGAGCTTGCTAGTGTTATTAGGGAGGCTTTAAACCAGAAGGGGGCGAGGTGGGAACCAAAGCGATAGTGAGGAAATAGAAAGGCTGAGGCTGGTACAGTAGATAAGGGGAGCACATCTAATAGTCAATACAGACAAGAGCTTGGCAGACGATGGAAGACCGATTAATTAAACTGCATTTATTTCAACGCAAGCGGTCTGACACGCAAATCAGATGATCTTAGGGCATGGTTGGGAAGATTGGATAGCACAGCTATTACAGAAATGTGGTTCAGATATGGACAGGACTGGCAGCTTAATGTTCTGGGGTACAGATGCTACAGGAAAGATAGAAAAAAAAGGAGGCAAAAAAGGAGGGGGGAGTGCCATTTTTCGGTTAAGGAGAACATTATGGCCATACTTAGGGAGGTTATTCCTGGGAGATTCAAAAGTTGATTCAGGGAGCTTATTCGCAGGTAAAGGGACGGTTGGGAAGTGGGAAGCTGTTAAGACTGAGATAATGGGAGTTCAGAGACGATATGTTCCTGTTTGTGTGAAGGGCAAGGCTGGTAGGTATGGGTTTGATGGATGACCAGAGAAATTGAGGCTCTGGTCAAGAAAAAGGAGGCAAACATCAGGAAAAGACAGCTGGGATCAAGTGAAACCCTAGAAGAGTACAAGGGCAGCAGAAGTTTACTTGAGGAGGGGAAATCAGGAAGCCAAAAAAAGGGGTCTTGAGATAACTTTAACTTTATTTGCTAAAGTTAAGGAGAATCCAAAGAGATTCTAAAAATACACTAAGGGACTAGGGACAGAATAGTGATGTTATGGACCAGGCCCCCTCAAAATATTTTAAGAAGGTAGCCTCGACCTGAACATTTTCTTATTTTAAACACAAACGTGAAGTGCCATGATCCAAGTGACTGGTCAAATAGTCAACATTAAGCAAAACAGAACCAAAGGCAGGCAAATTTAGAATAACTTAACTCTACTGGAAAACTTAACAGAATAAGAGATACAGTAACTATTACTAATTAACTGTTCCAATATAGTAACATTCCATAAACGCACCTCTTGGCAAAGAGGAAAATTCAGAAAAATACATTTGTCTCACAGGTAACCCAGCAAACAGAAGCTCTGGCTTCTGGGTATAACTGAGGAGAGGGGAAAAAGATAGCTTTCACTTCAGTCCACAACAGCTTAAAGCTAAACCTAAAAACTGAAGAAAAACTAGAAACCCTGGTCTGAGAGAGTTGGCCATACCCATTCAGACTGCCTCCACTGTTCCAACTTTAAAAAACCTCAAGGTCTCAAGCTGTTCGCTCTAGTGGTTTCGGTAGACTGCTCGGTACCTCTGCCTCACAACCGCTCTTCAAAATAAAGGACAAAATAACCTCTTAAAGCCACAATATTGTCACAATAGGGAGCCTTTAAGATCAGCATGGACATTTATGCATGGAACCACAGGAGATGGGTGAGGTACTGAACTAATATTTTGCATTAGTATTTTCTGTGGAGAAGGACTTGGGGAAATAAATAGTGACGTTTTGAAAAGAGTTCAGAAGAGGAGGTGCTGGAAGTCTTAAAATGCATAGTAGATAAATCACTGATACTTGAACAGGTGCTTCCCAGAACATCATGGAAAGCTAGGGAAGAGATTGCAGAGCCCCTTGTTAAGATATTTATATTATCAATAGCCATGGGTGATGTGGCAGAAGACTGGAGATTAGCTAATGTGGTGCCATTATTTAAGAAAAGCTCTAAGGAAAAGCTCTAAGGAAAAGCTCTAAGGAAAAGCTCTAAGGAAAAGCTC